ATAAGCTCAGGGCCGGGGAGATGGCTCAGTGGAATAAGCGCTTCCCTGGCAAGCGCAAGGGCCTGAGTTCAATCCCCGGTTCCACCAAAAATAAATAAAAATAAATAAATAAATAAAAATAAAAATTCATAAGCTCATGAATACTCCAAAAATAAAATCAACCAGACATCGCTGGAGATTGCTAAAATAATAATACACTAGCCTAGAAATTGAAAAATAAAAAGACTCATATTTAACCTGCTTTTCCAGTACAAAATGCACTGCAGAATAACCAATTGTTGAAAACCAACAATTTTTTACTAAAGAAGAATTCCAGCTAAGACCAAAAGAAACAAAAGAATCTGAGAACCTGACATTTTGCAACTCCTCATGAAATAATGGACACTAAAGTCATTTAGGTGAAAGATAACATTCTAACAGAGGGAACAAGCTGTACCATTCAATGTCTTTAGTACCACAAGTAAGACAATCAGCTATTCTGTGCCTCGTAATGTGGTGTGAAATAAAGTACACATCAATCAACTATGAATTGCTCTAAGACCCTAAAATTGAATTTAATCATCTTTAGATTTAATTACCAATTCACAGGACACACGACACATAAAAGAATAGGAGAATATCCCTGTCTCACTTTTCACTCATTGCTGGGACAAAGTATCAGACACTCATAATTAAGGAAGGAAAGGTTTATTTAGCTCACAATTTGTGGAGGTTTCAGTCTATACTCAGCTGGTTCCTAGGCTGAGTGGCACAGGGCAGAGAAAGCAGTTCAGTCAATAAAAGGTAGCCAATGCTTGCTTAATGCGATTGTTCTCCATACACAGTTTCTAAGTAGTTACTCTTTATTTGGAGGAAAGTTGTTGATGTTTTCATATTTATCTTGTGTCAAGCATGATCCCTGAACCTTCTTACTAACAGTTTTTTAGTGACTCTCTAAATAGGGAAAAAACTTAAGTTAAAAGACAAATGAAAAACATAATTAATTAATTAATAAATAAAAAGACAAATGAGCTGGAAGAATTTTCAGACATAGTGAGTGTATATCATTTAGCCATCAGGAAAGAATGACTCAAACAATGCTAAAATAAAGGACTGGTCATATAGAAAACATTTAAACTGCAGCCTCAAAACTCCATAAACACATGGACATTTAATAATACCCTCCTAAACAATCAATGGTTCACAGATGAAATAAGTAAAGGAAGAAATTAAACAGCATGTACAATTAAATGAGAATACACATATAACACACCAGAACTTATGGGACATAATGAAAGTAGTCCTAAGTCAGAAATTTACAGCAATCAATTCTCACGTCAGAGTTGAATTCTCACATCAGGGAAACAGAACAGTCAAAAATAACCTAGGGGCCGGGGAGATGGCTCAGTAGAATAAGCGCTTGCCTGGCAAGCGCAAGGGCCTTAGTTCAATCCCTAGTTCCGCCAAAATAAAAAATAAAAAAATAAAAACTAAACAACCTAATGTTACACCTCAAGATTATAGAACGGGAAGAATAAGACAAACCCAAAGCCCATAAAAGGGAAGAAATTATAAAGATCAGAGCAGGATTTAACATAAGGGAGACCAAGAAAACGATACAAGAAATTAATCAAAGAGATGGCTCTTTGAAAGAAAAAAATAACATTGATAAAGCCTTAGCCAATAGACCCAGAGCCCAGGCCCAGCAAGTAACTGAGAGGACCCGGAGCAGCGGGATCCTGAATAGACCCAGAGCGCAGGCCTGGCGAGTGAATGACACGACCGAGGGCCCACAGATCCTGAATAGACTCAGAGTGCAGGCCCGGAGAGTGAAAGAGACTGCCCGGGGCCACTGGATCCTGAAAAGACCCAGAGCGCGGACCCTGCGAGTGAGTGAGACCACCCAGGGCCCGCGGATCTTCATTCGACCCAGAGTGCAGGCCCAGCGCAAAACCCTTCAGCAGAACTCCTTGAAAAGAGTCTAGAGGCAAGACCCACCCAGCTGATTCAGGAGCAGAACATCTTTCCAGAGACACACAAAGGGTTCAACTCTAACGGCTGCACCCAAAAGAAGTGGAGTACAGCAACCAGATCCAAACAATACCCACCTGGAGGAATGTGAACTTTGTAGATCCGGACCTGGTGCTAAGGTAATAACTATCTAAGCTCTGCACCAAAGGTCAGAAGACAGTGGTATACAAAATGACAAAGAGAAGGAACAAAATGCAGTCTCAGGGGCTGGAGAGATGGCTCAGTGGAATAA